TGATCCCACCTAGGAGGCCTATGCCTGCTACCATGCAGTCAAGTCTGCCATATGTAATTGCAAAAGATGAGGTGTTTGGACTGTCAGAGAACCCAATTCGCCTCCACAATGCATATGGACTTACCCATAAACAGAAGAACTACAGTTTACAATCTAAGCTGTCTGTTGGATCACAGAGTGTGCCTTTGGAGTCTGCTAAGTGCTGTATCCTCCTGTCCACAAACAACTGTATGTGGAGAATGCCATTAAAGTTCTTCTGACTTGCTGCATATTGAATAATTTTATGTAACAGAAGAGAAGATCTGCAAACCCTGCACCCCGGAACATTGCTCAGTTTGTGAATTTCATGCATTTGCAGCCCCATACTTATGCCAAGAACATTAGCAATGCCTCTACAGATTTCTTTATCCCCCCCAGAGGGACAAGTGCATGGCAGAATGAATAGCCAGCTATTGGACCAGGGGAGGAGCTTGTGTAGGATGGATTCCACGGTTATTTATCATGGAGCAGAGAAAGGCAGATACAGTGAATATCAGCTGACACTTTACTTGATATATTACCTTTCATTGCAATTAACATAGACAGTAATATAATGTTTCAAAAACCATCAATAGAAATGTAGTTTTTCAAAGTTTTCATACTGGGGTTAATGGGATCTGGTTGTGGGATCATAAGGCAGTGTTAATAGTTGATATTGGCAATAGGGAACTGGGAATGTTTCACAGGGGAACTGGGTGGAACAGGTGATGAGGTAAAGTAATGGGTGTTTGGGGAGGGGGGCAGAGATGAGTGGGGAGGAGAGGGCAAGGTAGGTAGGGATGCATAGGTGTGGTGGGAACGGGCCATACGGGTACATGGCTCTGAGGGAGTGCAATAAGCTGACCAAGTTCAGTTGATGGTGGTCATCCATGGAGATGGAAGTGCCCTCCATTGAGTGGACCTGCAGGCTATAAGATAAGGGCATTTGTCATCCCTGGCCTACATTTCACACTCTCAAACTTTCAGCATTGTAAGGATATTGTGGTAGTAGACAACACTGGGATCATTTAGATTCAAGAAGTCCAGGCTGCATTACAGGTTGGCACCCACAGACCTCCGTCATTCAATGGTCTTGTCTTTGGCTGCTGAACCCTGAGAAGTTTTTTATATAAGATGTTCCTCCTGTTCTCCGAAATACTAATGGCCTCTGCAGTACTCAATGTTTAAACCTAATATACTTAATGTACCTATTTTTGTGCACACTCCTCGCTTCATGTATAAATCTGACCTGTCCTTTTGACAGACAAAGATTTTGGGGTTCTTGAAAATGTCTTTTAGCATTAATGTTGCTTTTATTGAAACCTGCTCCATACCTAACTAATGCTAACACACAATCTGAAGAGACTACAGGATTGGCTGATAGTTATTGAAGGTTTTTTTTTACACTGGTCTCCTTACAGAAATAGCTGTAGATGCGACACGTGTTTCCTGTGTCACAAGTGACATCCTTTCTACTGCTGATCATTGCTGTTCATGCTGCCAAGGTAATGCTCACCTCATCCACAGTTCAAAGGCCAGAGTCCCTTTTACTACAAAGCATCCAAATGTTCTACTATACACCAAATAGAAAACACCTAATCTCCATTAGTGAATAGGGATGAACCGAACACCCCCGTATTCTGTTCGTATTCGAACCGCCGAAATGTTCGAGTACGAACTCAAACTCAATGCAAGTGTAAGGGGATTGAATGTTCGACCCCCATACAGCTGCCGGTACATGTGGCTGCAGCGGCCTGTGTCCCTTCAAATCCCCGCTGTTCTCCCCGCCTGTGTTGGCGGAGGCAGCGGAGACACAGACCACTGCATTTCTCCACTGCCCCCATACCTCTGCTGCTGTCTTGACTTGGTCCGTTGGCTTCTCTGTTCCCCCGTCCGGCCGCGGCACCTCTGCCGCGAGCTTCAGTGGGCATTTTGTATTATGGAATGTCCGCGGTCGAACAAACCGTGAACATCCCATAAAGTCTACTTCTTCTAGTCATACTAAAAAGACATTTTGGGTATAATAAAATTAGCTACATCATTGATTGCCCAGTGAAGTGACGAATGACATAAGACAGATCAGAGCTGATGGCTGTAACATTTGCTATGTGATAAATAAGGTGAGGGGAATTTATCAAAACTGGAGCGGAAAAAAAATCTGGAGCAGCTGTGCAAGGTGACCAATCAGCTTCTCTCTTTCATTTTCAAAGCTTAACTGAACAAACTGAAGAGAGAAGCTGATTGGTTGCCCTGGGTAACTGCTCCAGATTTTGTCTGTTCGAGTTTTGACAAATTCTCCTCGTTGAATGTACCTGCGATCTAGATTCCTTTGAAGGATCTCTTCCAAGATAACATAGGTGCTATAGGTGCGTTTTATGCACATTTTTTCAGATCGTTTTTAGCACATTTTTTAGTTCAGTGAAACGCGCGTTCGACGCACATTTTTATACCTCCCGGGCGGTATGATTTTTTTTTCCTTTTTTTTTATTACTTTCAAACTTCCCGCCAGTTCCGCCCCCCTGCGACGCGGACGCTCGCAAGGGACGGAACCCGGAAGACGGCAGCGGCCAGAGGACAGAGCGGGGATCGCGGACAAGGTAAGACCTACGCTGTATTCCCGAGTGTGGCTCGGGATTACCGATTTGTTAACCCCAAGCCACACTCTGGAATACCAATGGATACGGGTGGATCCATACCAATCCATACCAATGGATTAGGTCTTAATTAGTTGCCATTTATGATTCCATGGTTTTTTTTATTTTATTTATTCTCTCCTTCATGATACTGTTTGTGATTTATCAATTTTATTGGTACAAAGAGGGGAAAAAGAAAAAAAGACACAATTTTTTTTCTTCTTTTTAATATATACAATTATGGATGATGTATTCGTTTTATTGTTTAGTATTCTACCTTTTAGGTGTATTTTAGATTGTTTAGATTCGTTATTATCAATTTTTATTTAATGTTAATACTAAGGAATTTTAAATGCTGTTATACCTTTGGCAATCCACTGCCTGCACTGCTAACATGTGTAGTCTATTACACCCTAGCTATACCTTAGTATATAAACCTTTCCTGGAAAAAGTCAAGGGACGAAACGCGTCGTAAAGGATAGGACACGTACTGAGGCTATACTATAGGTGACTAGCATGTTGATTTCTGGTTCCAGTTTGCTTAGGTGGAATCGATTGATTGTTTGCTGCAAGGCGATTTCATTCTGGCTATCTTGTAAGTGTGTTTTATTGTTGCAATAAATTCCATTTTTTTACGTACTTCACCACTTGGCACATTTATTCCTCTTCTATATTGGATTTCTCCCCTCGCTGAGTGAGCGGCACCTGCCGTGTAATACGAAAAGGAGGATTTGCTTCATCAGAAGAGTGACTATCCCATCTATGAAAGACACTCACCACAATTACGTTTATTGACCATTGAGTTATATGGTCATGGATCTCTGGTGAGTGTGTTCTCAGTTACCTTAACACATCGGGAGTCTGGAGCACTTTATTTCAGAGGATCATTGTCACATTGTGGATTTTGCACAAAAGCACTTTATACCGATTCACTGAGGACTATTATTGAATATTGTCATATTGATTATTATGATGTTTGAAAATGTATATTTATGAAAATGTACACATTATTTGGAAGTTTATGCACGTTTATGAGCAGTAGCGCAGTGCACACGATTTATCAATTGATTATATGCATCACATCATGAGAAGTCTTGTACATAAAACTTTTCCTTTAGTTTGCTTGAAAGTTTGAAATCTTTTTTACAATTTTATTTTGTTGAAAATGCGGAAAGTAAAAACTGTACTGGAATTGAATTAAAAAAATGCTCTCAATTCGTCATATATATTCAGTTTAGGATTATTGGCATTTAAATTATACAGTCTGACCCCTACTGCTTACACTGGCAGAGGTTCATAGGTTAATTGTATTGCAAATACAGATGCAAATCTGACAGACTCTTATACAAATATGTATGGCTGACCAGAATGGGCAAATCCAGATGTTCAGATCACTGAGTTCATCCTCAATTATTTTTGTAAACAAAATTCCACCATTATGGATTAGCCTGGAACTGCACTGATATAGTAATCTGGCTGTTTGGTCAAACATATACAAATACAGTAAAACAATAGATTCATTTTCAGGAAATGCATTAGAAGTTTTCTTTTAGGAAGAGTCCGTAGCTGCTGACAAGGCCTTCACCAATGACATGTATATAAATAGTACTAAACTTAATGACAAAGTTAAGGGTTAATGCAACAAAAGAAAGGAATGTTACCATTACAGGGCCTGACATTCGCAGAACACTTCAAATTCCTGTACACTTTACAGATATACCTCTTTATTTCCTTTTTTATTCTGATCCAGATGCAGCCTTTGAAGGTTAAGCATCAACAATGAAATTACTACCCATAGAAATTCTAACAAGGGGTATAGATGGCATTGTCGTAGGAAGAGTATTATTATAACACTTACTGCACATTTGTACCTGTGTACTATATTCCATCCCAAAATGTACAAATACATACTCCTCACTGACAAAGATAGTCCAGAAGATGTCGTTTTCAAACACAATACATATTCATTTTTATTAAACAATAAAAACATTCTGTTTTACTTCAAAATTGGATGAATTATTCTGATAGCACAATTGGTGCTGACCATACATTTTAAGATAAACTATCGACCATAGAAATGATAGTTTCATATGATCTTCTGCTATAGCTCAGTTAAGGAAAAGATTAAATTGGTCAAATTTGATTTGTTTTTCCACCAGAACCAACCACAATGGTTTATTGACAGAACTTCCAATTTCTGAAAGATAATATTCTTTCATCACAGTGATAATTATTTAGAGCGTGCATGGCCAGCATTGATAAGGATAGCCTTAATACAAAGTATTGCACTTGTCAGTCCATCTGTTCTAGCAATGACCCCGATTTGCCTTCCCCTAGGGCAGTACTCACCGCTCCCCCCACACTGCACGCCGTAGTCCTCGCAACAGTCGGCGCTCCGTTGACAGTAGGTGTCACAGTAACACATGGTCCCGGTGGGACTGACTCCGGTGCAGGCGTTATTTCTCCCCGGGCAACATCTGGGATGCCCACGTCTGGCGCAAATACCGCGACCTCCAGGCACCTGTAAAGCCCACATCGAGCAGAGGATCAGCCAAATCCCGGAACTCCGGAGCTGCATCCCGGGACATCCAGAGTCAGGATCCAGGGAAGAGTGGAGGGACAGATCCTTGCACACCAAGCAGATGTGTTGTGATGCCCAGCTGACTCCAGCCTATGCTAGGGATGCTGCACAGACGGGGAGTTGTAGGTCTAGTAGGGTCATAAATCAGGTCATGTAAGGTCACAGTTGTGTGACAGGCACCCCTGTACAGCTGTTCTAGGAACCATCTACACTACATGTCTCTGCTGGGAGCTTTTACTATATAGCAGAGAGGAGGCTCTATGCAGCCCCGTCTACAGACCTCACAGACATGGACCGCCCACTGGATGAAAAGTCTGTCCTGCCAGAGATGCTTTATGTAGTGCAGCTCCAAGTCTGAGTTCCCTGGATTTGCTGGAGGAACATGGGGGAGCCTTGTTACTGATTTGGAAAAAAAACCCACCTAATTACAACAATACATAATACAACATACATGGAATAAAATGTATTCATAAACTGACGACTGACAATGAGTGTTATTAAGGTAATCAGTACTCTTAAATGGCCCAGAATACTTTACTTACAGCTGTCACCTTTACAATAAAATATTTTGGCTTCTTCTATTAGGTTGCAAAATCTATTTCCATCATCCTAAGATATCAGAAACTTGATGCCATTTACCTTATTTTGCTGCATTATATTTTGGCATTAGTTTGCTGTATTTGTTAGCATGATAAAAAATGCACTTTAATGTAGTAAAGAGCAACAAAACGCACTAATACAGTATCTGAGAAATAAATAATGTGATTAGAACTGTGTGATAGCCAGAGAACTAGTATTTTCAGAAGCAGCAATGGCAGACTCCATACATTCTCAATGCAGCTTTCATTTATAGTAAAACTGTCGGGAATACACTCACCCTGTGCTAGGTACCCTCCAATGCCAATACTTACCTTCACCCTCAAGTCATTGTTGGAGACAGCGAATAGCTGCTGAAGCCTCAAGCATTACATTGTGGTGAGGCATGTTGCACTGTGTAATTAGTATTTGATGACATGTGGATTCTATCAAACACCATCATTTGTAATAATATGTATCCTCTCTCTAACTCTGTGCTATGCAGTATTTTCGCTTGAACACAGAGAATAAGAAAAGACAGACACGGAGAGACTAAGCGGAGGGGCTACATGACTGGGGGGAGGAATAGTCCCGGGAGAAAGGGTTAAACAATAAAATGGGAAGAGCTGCTCTTACCTGATTGAACGTGGGAGTCAGGTGTCCGGGAGGAGCCGCATGGGAAGGAGCTGCGAGGGCTGAGGGACGTCCTCTTTCCGGAAAAATACGAAGGAAGCAGGTTGTCCCACCCTCCGTCCCTTGAATTCTGTGGTTTTGGGGGGGTTTTTTTCTTTTGTCTTTTGTCACGGCAGCTTGGCGGGTTAGGGGGTCTTTGGGGGGTCTACAAAATTCGGAGTTCATTACAAAATGAGGGGCCCTCAGCTGGTATGGGTGCTTCCCCCTGTTGGTGTCCGGATTTGTAAAGGGCGGGGCCTGGCCCCTTGGGAACCCAGAAGGAGTAAGTGTCCTCGAGCTGGTTGTGGTGCGGCTGGGGACATTGGTGGAGTGTTATGAGAGGCCTTTTGGGCTGGCGGGCACCCAAAGACCCCATCTCAGGTCAACCATTGTTTAAAGTATTATTTTGTATATTATTTGGTTTATTACTTTGGTTATTGTTAAAGTTGTTTGTTTAATAAAAGGGCTGCTGTGGCCGTTAAAATCCATGTCGCGCAGTCTGTGTGTTTATTGGGGTTGTTAACGGAGGGACAGAAAATTGACGAATCCATCAGTCAAGCCAAAATACCTGCTAAAAGAATGATTTATTACAGGCAGTTTAAAGTTAATAAAAAGACTTGTGATCTGCCAATGTAGTGGGTACAGGGCATGCTGGGACCTGTAATCCCCGGTGTATATGATGAAATACAGGAAATATTGGGACTTGTATATCCCTTGTGAATAATATACAGTGTATACAGGGCATTGCGGGACTTGTAGTCCTCCAGTGTATATGTTTACAGGGCATGCTATAACCTGTAGTCCTTTGGTGTATATTATGCACTGTATACAGGATGTAATGGGGCTTTTAGTCTTCTTGTGTATAATATACAGTGTTAACAGAACATACTGGGACTTGGAGTTCTCCAGTGTATCATGTACAGTTTACTTGCAGTCTATTGGTGTGTAATAATAGTGTGTACAGGACATTCTGGAACTTGTAGCCCTCCGGTGTATAACATGCAATGTATACAGGGCCGGCCTTAGGGCTATAGGCGCCCTGTGCGAGAAAGCTTTACAGCGCCCCTCAGTGACCACACCCCTCAGTGGCCACACCCTCAGTAACCACACCCATTTATTACGCATATTTTTGGTAAAATATAAAAAGCGCGGTCACGTCGGGTAAATAGACACCAAACATGTCATGCTTTAAAATTGCGCACACCCGCAAAATCGCAAAAAATTACCATGCCCAAAATTGACCAAAGGGTCTAACACGCAACGTATACAGGACATTCTGGAACTTGTAGCCCTCCTTAAATCTGGTGACACCCTACTGACCATGCCTACTTTTATTCGACAATAAGTTTTTATTAAGATTTTGCTCAACCTAAGACACAAATACAGCATAAATATGGCCATTCCAATATACAATATTCAAGACATTCAAACAGTTATATAGAGAGCTAGTTGTACATGAGACAAAACGCAGTTTAGGTAAACTGCAGAATAAACAGCAGGCACTATGCCTATATCATCATTATATTCGGTCACATAGCTCTTCAGTAACAGGCCTTGAACCAACATGCAATGTTCAGTGTGTCTTAGGTCTGAAGGGGATATGAGGGGTAAGAAGGAATGGAATAGGAATTCCACAAGGGAGGTCAAGGGGGGTAGGGAGGGGTAAAACAGAAAAGAATACAAACAACCAGATATCTATAATAACTTGGTATTATATAATGAGGCAGCAAAAAGTAGGTTACTTTTCAATCAATCTAAGCAAACAGGTTACACGGATAAGATTGGTTATCAATAGTGAGTACAGGCATACACTAGGAGGCTATAAGAAGGTATACGATTGGGGTACATAGTCTTACAGAGAAGTTTAAGCAAGATCCCAACACCGCTCAATTTGGCAAAACCGTTGTGGTACACCTACTATCTCGTATCCAACACTCCCACTTTCCAAGAAACATGCGTTCCTTAAGGTGTGCTTAAGCAAAGAGGTACTCAAAATGGGCATTGGTATTAATAATGTCAATCACCATATTTAATGTAGGAATCATCCGTTGTTTCCACAGTCAGGCTATGGCCAGTCTGGCTGCAATAAATGCATGTGTCACAAAGACACGAGAGGGAAGAGGCCAGTCAGTAAGCCCCACTCCCAGCAAAGCCATTTGCGGGTTGGCCCTGCAAGGAAGGAGAGTAACCACTTGAACAAATTGAAAAACAGACCCAGTATTGTTGGAGCAAAGGGCACTGCCACCAAATATGAGGAAGTGTACCCCTCTGACCACACTGTCTCCAACAGAAGGAAAAGGTAGATGGGAAGATCTTAGCTAGTTTGTGCGGAGTATAGTACCATTTGTAGAGTATCTTTTGGACAGATTCCCAGTGTGACAGGCATCTTGAAGCCTTTAGGGGCCAAACTATGGTTTGATGCCACTGCGTAGCCGATAATGTAAATCCCAATTCCTTTTCCCACCATTCCATGGCAGGAAGTTTCGATTCCTCCACAGGGGTAACTAGCAATTTATAGAAAAATTAGATACCCTTCATTTGTAGAGTATTTCTAGTGAAAAAGGAGATGGCTTGTCTGTGGAGATCAGTATCTCTCATCCGAGCTGAGGTCAGGAAATGTCTGACTCTGAGGTATTTATAAAAGTCTCTGGGTGGTATGTTATACTGCCGGCTTAAAGATTCAAAAGAGTCTAGAGTAGCAGCAGAGAATAGTTGATTAAGTCGGGTAATACCCAAAGCACTCCAATGAGAGACACCCAAATCCTCCAGCATAACCATTAGAGATTGGGAAAGTAGGGCCCAAAGAGGTCCATACTTTGTTAACAGCCGTGACTGTGTCTAGGTATGATTTCTCCTGAGAACGATTAAGTAAGCTAGTACACAGTAAAAAGCGCACATCCATAGAGACTGCTACTGCTGCTTGTTCCAGGAGTTTCCACGGTTGATTAGAGGAAGGGGACCACCAATGGCGGGCTTGATCAAGTATCGTGGCTTTGTAATATTTAGCAACATCAGGGGCCCCAAGACCTGTGTGGGATTTAGGGGTGTACAAATTAGTTTTAGGTATTCTAGGTTTCTTACTATCCCATATAAAGGAATCAATGATGCCTTGCTGTGCTTTAAGTACGATGGCAACAACGGAATAGGTTCGAAATATGTAGAGGATATGGGGAAGCACAAACATTTTGATCAAGGTAATTTTACCTGCCCATGTTGTTGGAATAAAGACAAATGCCCTAGGCACTGTGGAAGCAGCAGAAGTGGTATGGTTAAGTAAACTTGAGCCTACTCAGTAGGCACAAAAGTGCATAACATACAAAGAATGGAGTACACAGCACATGGAGTACAGGGCTCAGGAGCAGGTAACACACAGAGTACAGGGGTCAGGAGCAGGTTCTGCATAGGGTACTGGGGTCAGGAATATGAACACACACAGAGTGCAGGGGTCATCAATAGGTAATGTATGAAGTAAAGGGGTCAGGAGTAAGTAACACATGGAGTACAAGGATCAGGAGCACATAACACATGGAATGCAGGGGTCAGGAGTACATAACACAAGGAATGCAGGGGTCAGGAGTGTGCAACATGTGGAGTACATGGGCCAGGAGCAGGTAACACACAGAGCACAGGGGTTAGGAGCAGGTAATGCATGGAGTAACAGGGTCAGGAGTAAGTAACACATAAGGTACAGGGATCAGGAGCAGGTAAAGCAAGTTGTACATGGGTTAGTAGTAGGTAACACAGAGTGCAGGGGTCAGGAGTAGTCAATGCATTGAGTAAAGGGTTCAGGAGTAAATAATGCATGCAGTGCAGGGGTCAGGAGTAGGTAACACATGGAGTACAGGGGTCAGTAGGTGACACATGGAGGGGTCAGGAGTACATAATGCAGGGAGTGTGGGGGTCAGGAGCTTGTAATGCAGAGAGTACAGAGTCAGGAGTACATAAC